ATTTTCTTCTCATCTTATTTGGGAACAACAATCTATTGGTAGAGGCCAAAACAAAACAAAACAAAACAAAACAAAAAAAAGAGAGAGAGTGAAAACTTGATTTAAACCATATCACATTTCTAAGGCAGAATTTCCCATATCATAGCATAATCTATAGAATGACTAGACTAATAAGACTAATAGGTAGTACCAAAAGAACTTCTATGGAAAATAGATCAGATCTGGGTTATACAAAGTGAAAGTGATTCCTTTTGCAGGACTTAAAAATTTTGTTGCAGGCATACCTCAGAGATATTGCAGGTTCTTCCAGATCTCTGCAATAAAGCAAATATCATAATAAAGAGACATACAAAATTTTTGGTTTCCCAGTGCACATGAAAGTTATGATTACACTATACTATAGTCTACTAAATATGAAATAGTGTTATGTCTTTAAAAATAATAAGCATAGCTTAATGTAAAAATACTTTATTGCTAAACATGCTAATGATGATCTGAGCCTTCACTGAGTCTTAGAGAGGCTTGCCTCAATGTTGATGGATGCTGACTGATCAGGGCAGTGGTTGCTGAAGGGGAGGCGGCTGTGGCAATCTCTTAAGACAACAGTGAAGCTTTCTGCATTGATGGACTCTTTTCTTCACAATAGATTCTGCTCTAGTGTGTGATGCTGCTTGACAGCATTGTACTCACTCACAGCAGACCTTTTTTCAAAATTGAGTCTATTCTTTCAAACCGTGCTGCTATAAGCTAAGTTTACATAATATTCTAAACCCTTTGCTGTAATTTTAACGATGCTCACAGCATCTTCCCCAGTAGTAGATTTCATCTCAAGAAACGACTTTCTTTGCTCATCTGTCAGAAGCCACTCCTCATCCATTCAAGTTTTATCATGAGATTGCAGCAGTTCAGTCATATCCTCAGGCCCCACTTCTAATTCTAACTCTCTTGCTATTTCTACCACGTCTGCAGTTTCTTCCTCCACTGAAGTCTTGAACCTCTCAGACTCATTCATAAAGGTTGGAATCAACTTCTTCCAATCTCCTGCTAATTTTGATATTTTGACCTCCTCCCTTGAGTCACAAATGTTCCTAATGACATTTAGAATACTAAATTGTTTCCAGAAGATTTTCAATTCACTTTGTCCAGATCCATCAAAGGGATGACTATCTATAGCAGCTATAGGTTTGCAAAAGATGTATTTCTTAAATAACAAGACTTGAAAGTAGAAGAAACTCTTTGATCCAGGAGCTCCAGAATAGATGCTACATTAGCAGGCATAAAAACATTAATCTCCTTGTGTGCCTCCATAAGAACTCTTGGGTGACCAGGCACATTGTTAATGAGGAGTAATACTTTGAAAGGGGTCTTTTTTTGGAGCAGTAGGTCTCAACAGTGGGCTTAAAATATTCAATAAATTATGTTGTAAACATATCTGCCTTTATCCAGGCTTTGTAGTTCTAGAGCACAGGCAGTAAATTTAACATAATTCACAAGGGCCCTAGGATTTTCAGAATAGTAAATATCTTGTTTCAATAGAAGGCTGTTTTATCTACATTAAGAAACAATTGTTTAGTGTAGCCACTCTCACCAATTATCTTAGCTAGATTTTCTGGATCACTTCCTGCAGTTTCTATATCAATACTTGTTGTTTCACCTTGCACTTTTATGGAAGATGGCTTCTTTTCTTAAATATCATGAACCAAATTCTGCTACCTTCCAACTTTTCTGCTAGCTTCCTCCCCTCTCTCAACCTTCACATAACTAAAGAGAGTTAGGACCTTGTTCTGGATTAGGCCTTGGCTTAAGGAAGTGTTGTGGCTGGTGTGATCTATCCAGACCACTGAAACTTTCTCCATGTCAGAAATAAGGTTATTTTACTTTTTTTTTTTTAATCATTAATGTGTTCACTGGAGTAGAACCTTTAATTTACTTCAGGAACTTTTTCTTTGCATTCACAACGTGGCTCTTGGCTAACTGGTTGGTGCAAGAGACATAATTTTCAACCTGTCTTGGCTTTCAACATACATTTCTCACTAAACTTAAATCATTTCCAGCTTTTGATTTAAAGTGAGAGATGTGCGACTCTTCCTTTCAGTTGAACACTTAGGGGTCCCTGTAGGGTTGATTGGTCTAATTTCAATATCTTTGTGTCTCATGAAATAGGGAAGCCAGAGGAGAGGGAGAGAGATGGGGGAATGGTTGTCAGTGGAGCAGATAGAAGATATACACCACTTATAAGATTAAGTTCACAGTCTTATATGGGCAAGGTTTGTGGCACTCCAAAACAATTACAATAGTAACATCAAACATCACTGATCATAGATCACCATGAAATATATAATAATAAAATTCAAAATAGTACAAGATTTACTAAAATGTGACACAGAGACATGAAGTTAACATGTGCTATTGAAAAAATGGTTCTGCTGGAAAAAATAGTCTTGCAGGATGCAGGGTTACCAAAAACATTCAATTTGGTAAAAAACCCAATATCTGAAAAGCACAAAAAAGTGAGGAGAAATGGAATGAGATAGGCCTATATTCCATTAACACTGCAAACCTCTAGTACGGAAATGTCATCATGTAACAATTCCTTCTTCCCCTGGGAAACAGTCAAAGTTAACAAATTGTGACTGTGTCTATTATTCTTAAATCAATTCTTCCAAGAACTCCGGACCCCTTTCCCAATATTAAAACTGCTCTGAAACCAGACAAAATACTGCCAAAAAATCATCTTTTGAGGCCCCTTCACTGGGAGACTGTGCTGGCTTGCTCCCTCTCTGTTAGAAAAAAGGGGCAGCTTGGCTCTTCATGTCCCAGTGAGATAAGAGAGCTGTGATGGGCCATCACAGTTGACTCAGTGTTAAGTGAGGTAATGACGGATGCAGGATGTTACTGTGGGCCAGCAGATCCTGCCCAGGGAAGTAATAAAGGCAGTCCTCACAACCTTTCCTCTTTGTGACCAAGTCATCTTCTGGTGTTCAATTTGCCTGATTGTGACTCTTAGAGAAACCTCCTTTTTCCTGCTTTAGGATGAGATATTTAGTTATCTCTACCTAGAGTATAAACACCATGAGAGCAAGAACTTCTTCTTTCGGGTTTGTTTTCCAGTGTATGCCCAGCATACACTCAAAAAATATTGACTGAGCAAAATCCAAAGACACCACTGCCTTAGGACTCTTGCATTTGTCTTTTTTGCCTCAAACACTCTGCTCAGTCACTCCCATGTCACACCCACATTTTCCTGAGGTCTCTGCTTAAATATCCCTTCCTCAGAAAGGTTTACCCTGTGCACCTCAGAAATCTAAAGAAGCAATGTATATCTTCCATTCTTTCTCTAACTAGCTTTATTTTCTTCAAAGAATTTATCCCTAGCAGACTTTCTATTGTGTATTTATCTATATTTTATTGATTTTCTTCCAGTACCACTGCCTACAACAGAGCCCAGAAGATGATAAGTACTCAGTAAATATTTGTTAAAAGAATGAAGGCAATTTAAGGATTAAACTTCTGCATGTCATAAACTTGTACTTTCAGCACATTTGCATTATTTCAGAAGCTTGCATATAATCAGTGCTCAGAAAAGGTGGTATGTAGAAATGTTTGTGTGTGAAAGAGACAGAGAGAGTTGTCCCTGGCATGATTAGGTGGGGGTCATACGTCCACTGTTCATCTTGGTATACAGGTATGTGGTGAATATGAAGGGATAGATAGAGGTAAACGGAGATGAGAAGAGAAGAAGAGGGAGAAGAACAAGGACAGAAGTGTAGAAAATACAAATCCCATGGAGCACAGAACCAGAGCCTCTAACATGGCTGGGGAACTCATGGCCCTGACTGTTTTTGTCGTGATGTCTTCTTCTGAGCTATTTTTTTTCCAATTTTTTTCTTTATTAAATGAAACTGGGGAAACATACGTTTTATAATAACAGCCAAATTTTATCTTCTACCCAGAGTGTTTCTTCATTCCTATTAGGCTAAAATTCCAAACCACAGCACAGATCAATGAAAAACTGCCCAAAGATAGACCTGAGTTTGAGCCCCAGCTCTGCCACATGATAGTGTTTGATCTTGATCATAATTTTATCTGTTCATTTATCCATCTAGTCATTGTATCTTTGATGCAACCAATTAACCAATTATCTATCTATCCATCCATCTATCTATCTATCTATCTATTTATTTTATCCACATAAGACTTTGAAGTAGATGAGTAAGTTAATCAAATATCTCTCTCAGTTTGTTAATCTGTAAGAAAAGATAATAGCTACTCTATTACATTAATCAGTTGATTTATAAAAATCCATGAGACATGACAAACTGAATGCCTAACATTTAGTAGGATCTCAATAAACATTAGCACATTTTCCCCTCTGTCACTCCCCCAACACAACAGCCTGTATAAAATACTTACATATGCACAGAGTCATACTCTAGCCATGAATGTACGTGTCTTATTCCCCAACTTGCACTTCTCAGGGACAAGGACCATATCTCACAGAGCAGCTCCTTTACAGGCTGGGGTTGTGCTTATAGTTCAGTGTAATTTTTTTTTGTTTGATTTGACACATATTGAGATAGCTGCCCACATTTCTGCATCTCTTTTTCTGTCTCTCATTTTGAGGATTTGGTCAATTAGTCCAAGTATCTCAGGAGAACCAGCCATAAGATGCACAATCTGTGGAAGCCTTGGGAGGCGGGCATTCCGGCTCTTCTCAAGGACCCACTGACATTTCTATTTCGTTGGCTCAGTGAATTCAACTAGCTCTGCTGAGGCATGAGTAATGCTCTGACCCTTTCCCATCCCCGATCAGCCCCTGGGGAGCTACTAGTGGAGATAAACCTGAAAGGGAGCAGTGAGTACGGCTCCTCCCCAGAGCACTTCAGCACAACGCAGCTTGCTGGTCCAGGAGAACGGCCAGGCCCTGGGCACCTCCAGATGGGAAGGCTCTTGACCTGGCCCCATCACCCTCTGCAAATACCCTGCACCAGCTCTTTTACCTGCTGCAAAGGGGGACATGTGCAGGGCAGGTGTGTCTTTTCTCCTTGGCTTTTTCTGTTCCAGGTCAGTGTTATGAAGAGCAGGGATCATTTTGCCCTTTGGATGTCTCTCTTGAACATCGTATCTTTTAATTAAATGTTCTGAAAACACACCTGCATGGTTAGGGGAACACAGAGAGAAACAGGGTCAAATACATATATCCTAATATATGAGGACTATGCATATTTATAGACATCTGGTGAAGATAGTCAATATAGCTTTCCAAACTTTCTTTAATAAAGAAAATCTTTTAAGAAGAAACATTAGTATTTATTCTCTATATAAAAGGTTTTGCATGCTTGATTTTATTTTAGCCTGAGAAATTTAGTATTGTGGCCACCATCACATAGTTGAGGAAAGTGAGGCAAAGAAATGTGCCCAAGTATCACAGCTCATAGGTGTCAGACAGCAGTTGAGCTCAAGTTTTTCTGCCTCTACATTCCATCCTCTGCAGCCGGAGGGTTCATTTGATGTAATTCAAGCTGCGTCTGCAGACTTCCACCCTGATACCTCCACCTTCCTGCTTTCTCACCAGTGAAATTCTTCTCCATCATTGGGGTAACTCTATAAAAACAGCCTCTTCAATAAAATTTTCCACAATTCGCTACCCACACTGAGCCCCAACAGTCCTTTCAAAGAACTCTCTCATGATGTCACTTCTTACTGCGTATTTCAGCTATTATATGCTGTTGTTATTTCTTAGAAAACTAAAAGATCATTCCCAGAAAGCTCCATGTTTCACTTGTTTTGCAACCTTCAAGGTGTGCTGTGAACAGTGACGACAGTAAATTAGTGACCAAGAGGGAGGCAGAAAAGAAAGCAAACCTTTCAGAATAAAAGAGTGTCACCCATCACATCCAAGGGTGTTACAGAGACATGTTCGTTCCTTGCCAGACTGCTTTGCTTTTCTCCTGGGCATTGAGCTGGGCCCATTTCCCAGCTTCTCTCAGTGTCAGGTGAGGCCTTGTGACTGATGAAGGCCTGCTTCACATGTATCTCCCTGTCAATCCTCCATGCTGTCTACCTCCCATGCCTGCTGGATATTTGTACTCATAGTGATTGTGGAAGCTCATGGTGACTTTGCTCACTGTGTATTTATGATGTCAAAACACATCAGCCTGGGTCCCTGAATGACTCTTCGGAGCAGAGCCTGCCTCCCCACACTGTGCTTCCACTATTGGTAGGTTAAAAAAAAATAAACTTTTATTGTATTAAGCCCCCAATATTTTAGAATGTACCTGTTATAGCAGCTTGCCATATTGTAACAAATACAGAGGTGGGGATTGCACACATTGCTTTAAAATACCTGAATATTTAAGGAAAAATGTGTGTGGCCAGTGTGACCTAGTGGGAAGTGGCTCTCCTTTAGAGCTGTGCAGACAGCTTTGTTCATTACCTGGTATGAAAGGTGGGATGTGCAGTGCTGGTGTATCTTTCCTCCTTGGTTTTTTTTGGTCTGACTCAACATTCAGGGTGTCCTGTGTGTTTTTTCCCTTTCTAGGCTTCTTTTTGAGATCACAGTCCTTAATGAACTCGTCTGAAAGATCATCTAATTTTGTCAGGATACAAAGAAATAAAGAAGATAACATGAGTAAGGATCCGGTCACAAACTGTTTGGTTCCTAACTGCACTTGATGGGGCAGAGGCTATTTGGTGTAAAAAGGAAAAGTGTTTCTTTAGTTTGGCCTATTCCACAAAGGACTTTGTTAGCCTTGCATAAATTCATATAACAAAATGGAAAACTAGAATTCAGTAAAACTCCAGATTAAGGAAACTCAAATGGATGGATCACCGAGGCACAGAAAAACTCTAAAAATATGGTCGGGCAAGCCACAGAATGGGTTTGAGTTAACATTCTGCTGGGAAAATATGTTCTCTCTGCTAAACACACCTCCATTCTTTTTGCTCAAGACTTGCTCTCTTTGGAGAACCCCAGGGCCAGTATGGAACCTCAGTCTCCCTCGGTCCTCAGTGAATTCTTCACTTGCCTTCATGGGTGTGCCAACCTCATCCTCCCTGTGATCCACACCTGGGCTTTCACATTTGTTTTTTTTATTGTTCCTGGCTTTGTAACCTTCCTATTTGCCCATTCTAACTCAAGATCTTACCGTTTTCTAACTCATTTCTTTACTTTTCTGAATCCTTTGCATTACCCCACCAGAGCTTTGAGGCCTGGCTTTTACATCAAGTGCATCAGAAGTTGTTAAAGGTAATGAACCCAATCTGACCACTCCTTGCCCACTGGAGTCTCCTCTGCTCCCTCTCACTCCTCTATCCTTTCTGTTGCTCTGCTTTGAGATTTGCTGTTACTGTTTCATCAATGGTTCACAGTTCCATATGGTTTAATCTACTACTCCAGACACAGCCTTTCTGGAGATTAAGGATTATAATCTTTTTGTAATTTTAGTCTTAATTGCCTCTTCCTCCACTTAATGGATGTTGAACGGTTAAGTGGAGTCAGGTTGATCTGAGTTCAAACATGAACTCTGTCATTTTCTAGTTCTGAGAACTTGCACCTTTATTTCTAGAAACTTTAATATTCTCTCAATATTTAGAGTGGGGATAATATTAATATTAATCTCTGTATGGGTGTGTTTGAGAGAAAGAGACAGACAGAGAGAGAGACAGAGAGAGGGAGAGAGCTAAATTTGTTAATGTTTGCAAAGCATCTGATATGTTTGATATATTTCAGATGTCCCAAAATATTCCCTCTGACCATTGTTCACCCTCTAACCCTCCACTAGACTTAGAGGAAAGCCTCCTCCCCCACCAATCTTCTTCATAAATCTATCTGTACTAACTACAGTCCTGAGTATTCTTTCTCATTTTCTGAATAGCCACAGCATTTTTGTTAAGGTAACATATTTAAAAGATGATTTATTTATTATTTCTGCATATATATTCTCTGGTCTCTTTACTGACAGGTGCCTTATCTTTTAACTCTTCAGCAGCAATTAATAAATACTTGTTGAATGAATACTTGAATAAATAAACTGAAATATATTATGTATAAGGAGCTATTCTGTTAGGATTCAAAGAAGCCACAAGACAGTTTAGTTTTTGTCTTTTCTGGAAACTCTAACTATGGCCTGTATATAGTCTGGCTACATCTACAGATATGAATAAATATGGAGGAATTCTAAAAGAGTAATTGGATATTTTAGCCCCTACCTTTCCCTTTATTTCCTTCTCTCTTTCTTATTTAAAAAATATTCAGGTAAATTTCTCTTTCCTTCTCTCTTTCTTACGTATAAAATATTCTGGTAAATTTATGTCTTTCCTTCTGTCTTTCTTATTTAAAAATTAGTCAGGTAAATTGCTTTAAAATGTTGAGGATTAAATGTCTTAAACCTTTGTGGGCCTAGAAATAAACTCTTTCATCATTCATTCATTACACCTTTTCTGGTTTTTTTTTTTTTTTTTTTTGAGACGGAGTTTCGCTCTTGTTACCCAGGCTGGAGTGCAATGGTGCGATCTCGGCTCACCGCAACCTCCGCCTCCTGGGTTCAGGCAATTCTCCTGCCTCAGCCTCCTGAGTAGCTGGGATTACAGGCACGTGCCACCATGCCCAGCTAATTTTTTGTATTGTTAGTAGAGATGGGGTTTCACCATGTTGACCAGGATGGTCTCGATCTCTTGACCTTGTGATCCACCCGCCTCGGCCTCCCAAAGTGCTGGGATTACAGGATTGAGCCACCGCGCCCGGCCTTTCTGGTTTTTCAATGCCTATGCTTTATCAGTTGTTAAATACGAGTACCATCCGTGAACACATGATCTCATTGAGTTCTCACACTAGGTCTACAGGGGTGTTATATTCTTTGCTCCATGTTGAAGATGAGAAAAGTGAGGTTCAGAAAGCCAGGTCAAAAGCTGAGGGGTACACTGCTGGCAGGTTATGGTATGAGGGTAAAACCCAGCCTCTTGGGATGATGTACCTTAATGCCTAGCTGCAAACACAATTTTAGAAGTTTATTGCCACATAGCACAGTTACTCTTTCCCCAATATTTTACATGCCATAGTCATGTGTTGAATAAATAAATGTTGCTCTGAATGGGTACTGTCCTGATGTGGGTCTCTGGAGGTACAAACCTGTCATGGGCTACCATTCAACCCCAGAATGCTGCTCGGTGCACAGTCATTTGCTTTAATTTTGACTTTTACTTCAATTGCACTTTTCCCCATTTTTGGAGAAATCTTGAACATAAAATATCTTGATGGCAAATGGGGAGAGGGGAGAGGAGGGGCGAGTCATAACCAGGCGAGGCATAGAAAAAGGCTATGAATATGCAAAAGGCCCATCCATCAAAAGTCTGAGTGTCTCATTTTTAGAAATGGGTAGAGGCAGAAATGTTTCTGGTATTTTCATTACAAAGGTTATGCAAAAAGTCAGTTCTGGAAAGGAAACAGATTGACAATAAAGCAGAAAAAGGCTATTTAAAATTCTATCTTGATAGGCAAAGAGAGATATTTGAAATATTTTATTGGCATTGCACATGGGGTGTAAGTGTGTCAGGAAATACTGGAAACAAGTTATACTGACACATTCCATTTATTGCCTCAAAAATGCTCTGCCTGGGACTCTGTCAGACCCAGAAAAAAAGGACAGTGCTTCCTCTCTCTCTCCTCTCTCTTTCTCTCTCTCTAATGAACTCACTGGTGCTTTAGCTAATATTTACATGGTAGACCCCACAGACCCATGGCTATTTGCCTGCCCATCTGGTGTTGGCCGTCACCAGAAGGCACAGACTATCAGGTTTCAGGGGGCCTCTCTCTGACTTGCCTGCAAACCAAATGGCTGAGACACATCTTCTCCAACTTCCACCACTGACATTCAAATAAATTTGTTTACCTAAGTGGCTGCAACGAGGGTCTAGCTTGTCCAGTCTGTCTTCTGAGAGCTCCAGTGGCTGCATTTGCTCAGTGGACATAATCAAAGGAGGATGGGTGGATGGATTTCTTCTCCAGCACTAAGGAATTATAAAAAGCAGTTAATAAGTATGCCTCTGTTTATTCATGCATTCATTTACTAAGTAACTATATTTGTTGAATAGTTGCTATTGTGTTCCCAGTCTAATCCTGTGTCTTTCTGTGTGCTTCTTATACTTAGCTATTAGAAACTCTAAACTTGAGATTTAACCCAAAATGAAATGAACCCTCCCACCCCCACACTGACAGATTTATCGGTAATTGTCATGTAATCAAATGTTCAAAATTTGCCCTCTCTCAGAGACACTTTGAGAATTTCGGAATGAGCAACTGACAAGTCTGAATAAGAAGTGAATTAGCTGAGAGTCACAGAAAATCACAATTAAACCTTGCATATCTTTTTTCTGTTGAGTTCTGCAAAGTAGGATTATGTCTGCTTCACAGATGAGGAAACTGAGGCTCAGAAAGTTTAATTAATTTAGTCACATGTCTATTAAATAGCCAAGCCTATATCCAGGTCCAGTACTGCTGACTTCCATTACACACCCGAGTGTCTTAAAAATAAAATGAATTTCTTGAACCTGAATTGATGAAGGCTTCTGTTATGGGGTTTTGTTTGTTTGTTTGTTTTACCATTACATCCTGTGTCTATTGTATAAAGTAAGGTGACTGCCTCCCCATCCAGATTATGATGGTGGTAGAGATATGGTAGGAGAAAATCTGGGTTTTGGATAGATCTTTATTTTCTCCCTAGGGATTTTAGACAGGAGAACAAATCTGTCCCCCTCCCTACTCTCCAACTTTCCTGGAAAGTTCACTGAACTTTCCAGAACTATTAATTATAGCTGTCGCCCAAGAGCGGTGGAAATACAGAACGGATATATGTCAAGTCTGAAAGAGAAATGCATTAGCTGAGATTTATAGAAAATCTTCATTAAAGCCTGGCTAGATTCTATATCTTGAGTTCCTTTTAGATAATTTATTACTCATGTCCTACCCTAGCAAGAGTGGTGGGGGAGGAATGAATAAGATTAAAATCACCCAACCAATTCTTTTCTTTTGAGACTCCTTGACAACCGGCACGCAAATGAACACACAGATCAGTTGTGCTAATGTTTCAAGCTCATAAAATGAGTTCAACTCTGTTGTCTTCTGAGGAACAAACCAGTTTTCTCTGCAAAGGTGGGAGGGTCTCTTCTTCTATGTGCTGAGATCACTGCATAGCAGATGGGGCTATTAACTGATCACTTGAGCATAGCTTTTAGTGTCACTCTGTGCAGACTGATGGTACTGAGTGACTTCAGCAGAAATCAATTCAGACCATTGTTTTTGGTGTTTGTCTAGAGGTTGTCAACTCCCTGGGACCATCAGGAAGTGTGCTGTTAGCTTGGATGGGCCATGGGAACATCACTCAAGATGAGTGCTGAGGTCTCAGGGCAGCATAAAAAATGGTTTTATGTGTCTGTTTAACCCATTTTCCTCCTCTTCAGGCAGAGTTATGGGGTCAGTCATACATATTATGTTAAAAATTACCCCATAGAAGATCTGGTAAAAATATTCATTCCTCAGAAGAAGAAACTGAGGCTCAAAAAAGTTAAAATGACCTATCATTAGGTACACACTTAGGATCAGAGTCATCATTTGAAGCCAGGCACCTGCTATCTACTGAAGGTCCTATCTGGGGTTAGAACCTTTCTCCTTCTCCCCAACCCCTGTAAGGTAAGGTATTTTTTTTTTAACTTAGATCCTATGGCTGTTCTTATGTGCCTAATAGCTGGTTATTTAATTTGAATCTGGGCTCTTTAATCAAATAGACCTAGGTTAAATCTCAGCTCTTCAACTAAAAACCATATGACTTCAATGAAGTTGCTAAATCTTAATGATGTAGTGAGAATAAATGGAGCCCAATGCAATAGAATCATTTTTGCCCCCTCTCTCCATAAGCTATGACTGCTATGATAAAATTTGCAAATGCTATCATCTTTGTGGTGACCCCACAGTCTGGCACCCAGAAACATATGTCCCTCTCTGTCCCTCAAGCTTACCCTGAGTTTTCTCTTTTGTAAAATAGAGATAATAATAATAATATCATTGCCTATTAGTTTAATGACTCCATCTCCCAATTCACAATTCAAGTGGCAGCTATTTTAATGTAATGTTGTCTATCTACCACACTAGATTTCTGGCAAAGAAAGACCTATTGTTTAACAAAAAGATTCTAAAAAGCAATTGAACTTTTATTTCATATGCTGAGTCACAGGAGGTCCAGTTCTCCTCTGAGTAGAGCAACTATAGCAGCACCAGACTGGAGGAAGAGGAGCCTGTCTTTGGCCGATGAATCGAAGAATCAAACACGTCAGAGGCCCCTGACAAGGCGAGTGAAAACAGTGATTCATCACAAAACTGACACACGCTTCCTCCACAGCCTAGCTCATATTGTCTATGGGAGAAACAACACTATTTTAAATCAGTGTGATTTAAAGAATGATGGTGGTGAACCAGCAAAACTGTTTGCTAAGAGACTGAGAGACAATTTCCAGATCTGAGATTTTACATTACAAAAATATCTCATGCTGGGCAGGGATGTGTTTTGCCCGTGGGATTAGAAGATACTTTTATCATGAATGATGTCATTACGGACTTCTTGGCAGAAAATTTTTGCACAAAGAAAAGAACAAGTAGGTGGAGAGGAAAGACATTTGGAGTTCAGTATTAGCTTATTGATAATTGTCATTGCCTGTTAGTATAATGACCCCATCTCCCAAATCACTCTCCATTTCTATCCTCAGTGAGAAGAGGAGCTCTTTATGAGTATACTGTTGTGAGACATGAGCCGGTCTAATTCTTGGCCTAGGAAATGGAATTATTTCCATCTGAATATTTCCACTTCCTATTCCTGACTCTGCCCACACCTTCTTCTCTTTAATTCAGTCTCTACTCCAAGCAGGTGTCATAAAGGGATGCTGTACTTGTTGGGTTGCTAAGGGAAGGTGTCATCATCTCCCTATAATTTGGGAACTTTCTAAGGTACCAGCTCTTTCCTTCATGGCTAAATAGTTGGTCCTTTGGGTCTTCAGATTTCAACCAAAATGCTAGGGCATCCAGAGGTGCTTGCTGTCTAATACTTCACATTTGGGGTGTGACATATACTGTGTCTGCTACAAAGACTTGTGACCTTTTTAACATCCTCTTGCCACTTACTGGTTCAATCTGGGCTCTGAACCACTCACACAGAGACATGGACTGCCACTGTCATTGCAATATCAGCTCACCCACCCCTGTGACAAGCCTGTAGCTAAATGTGCTGTGAAAATCAGGACTGTTTATATTATATACAGCTCCAGAGGCATCTCAGGGAGCACCAGCAATCACATCCATTATTTCTGCAGCAAAACTATAAATATTCACACTAAGTGTCATAAAGACAATCCACAAAAACTTCACATCTTTTCAGGTCAGGCTTTGCTACCAAATGAGTTTGTTTGACCTTAACAACAACAAACCTTTTAGTTTTCAGAATGCTTCAGATTTATTCATTAGAGAATGAAAGATTGTTAATCTAAATTATTCTTCTGGTGGTAGTTGACAGAATGTGGTGGTCAGTGTAGCATGCAAGAGACCAAGAGATATGATTTCAGGGTTTGAGGAAGGATTTCAGGACTCTAGCTTTTAAACTCTTACAGCATCCTCTTACCAGTCCTTACCTTCCTTTGCACCAGGGACAAAACCTTTCTTTTCACAGAGAGACACTTGTAAATGCAAATACCACTTAGAGAAGCAATACGTAAATTGATGTCACAGTACACAGGGATTGTTCATGACAAGGTCACCTTCTCTTTTGAGAATAGGAACTGAAAGGGGAAAAGAACTGGGTGCCAGAAAAGGGACCCCACTATATTGCAGAAGGGCAGGCACATCGGCGCAGCTGAAACACCTTAGCTGGTTTACTGTGTGGTCAGAAGCTGCTCTGGACATTTTGTCTTTTCTCTTATCACTGAGCAGTTTTCTCAGTTGGATGTGAGAATATGTGGTTTAATTCATGGGAAGAAAATTCCTCTCGCCTATAAGATTGGATGCTGTGAGTGAATCTAAGGCAGAAGACAAAGTTTGGTTGCTTGTACCACTCTCTGGCTGGGTGAACTTGGGACAGTTATATGTTCTCTTAAAAATTTAGTTTTCAAATCTGCAAAATGGGGAAGATAGTGGCTCTTCTCCAGGGCTGTTGAGAGTATAGAATATGCATGAAGCCCCCAGCCTGGGTCTTGCACGCTAACATTTTCATGAGTGTGAGGGGTCTTCTCGCATCTTTCAGCCCTCCCTTTGTGGTTATATGTCTATGTCTATCTAAATTGATCCATTAGAATAATCTCCTTGTCCCATCTCTGGGCTTCTCTGGAGCTGGTAATGAGAATAGTTCAAGACAAAAACCAACCGCAGAATACCCATTTCTTTTTTTTTTTTTTTCTTTTTTTTTTTTTGAGACGGAGTTTCGCTCTTGTTGCCCAGGCTGGAGTGCAATGGCGCGATCTCGGCTCACCGCAACCTCCGCCTTCTGGGTTCAGGCAATTCTCCTGCCTCAGCCTCCTGAGTAGCTGGGATTAGAGACACACGCCACCATGCCCAGCTAATTTTTAGTATTTTTAGTAGCGACGGGGTTTCACCATGTTGACCAGGATGGTCTCGATCTCTTGACCTCGTGATCCACCCGCCTCGGCCTCCCAAAGTGCTGGGATTACAGGCTTGAGCCACCGTGCCCGGCCAGAATACCCATTTCTAAGTCTTGGGAACATAATAAAACTGATTGACAGAAGTGAATTGACACTTAGCTTACCCTACAGTATTCTAAAGAATATCTCCAAAATAATCAGGTCTTGATTTACTTGATGGAATAAAAAGGTAGAAGGTTGTATACACAGCCTATGTGGTGTCTCCTTAATGCACCCTCTGCCTATGTAAAATACATATCTATTGTTAAACCTCTTTTTAAGCAGAGAATTGAATTCTGGTCAAAAAGTACCATCTTTTAAAGTCAGATTTGTTCATTTAGAAAACCTAAATTGGCCTATTCCTGGAGGAGAGATTGACTTAAAGTAGGGCATGGAGATGCGTTTTGAGAAGCAAACTTCCTGTACTTTCCCTAGCCTTGGAAGATAAACCTATCTATCCTGTGTGAATATGCAGATATACCAACTTCATCTTGAAACTTTGCAAATGAGTTTGTGAGGACTCAAGCTTTTACAGAACGCAGGAGTTCACCTCCCTTGGAAGAATGATTTGAAAGTGGTAACTTTTTCTGCTCCCCACTCAGCCCCAGCTTAGCCTTGCTCCATAAAGCACAACCCCGTGCCACAGCTACAGCCTTCTTTGTCCCAGTAACTTACTGGAAACTTGCTTTCCTCACCACAAAAGTTCTTGGAGTAAAAATCTGAAGCACTTACCAACCAGTGCAGACGCAGGGAAGTGAAGCCGAGAGACAAGGAGGGCGTGCGTGTGCTCACCGAAGCTGGGCCTGGCTCCTCTGCGGCAGTGGCTGCTGCTGGCCGGCTCCTGCTCCTCTTATCTAGGGACCAGCTGCTGCTGTTGCCATGGGGATGCTCTGTTTCACAGGCACCAGGGCAAGAGGGATGGAGAAGGAAAGAGGACTAACATCGCCATTGCTGCTCTCCACAGCAATAATTGTACATTACAAAAGTACAATATAGAGTCATGCTTTGAGTTACCAGTGCCCACACCAGAGAAATTCAGACAAACCAGCTACATCATTGAATTCCCATGGCCTGATTTTGGAAATATGGAAACTGAGGCACAAATAAGGTAAGTGATGTGCCCAAGAGAGGCCACAGCTAATTTCGGCTGTCAAACCTATTTGAGTTAAAATCCAGAGTACTTTCAATCACCAAGGCTGCTTCTCAGAGTACTATCATGAGGAGGAAGAGAAAGGTAGCTATTGCTAACATTTGTGGTTTATGTAAGGCTACCCACAAGCCAGGCTCTTATTTAACCCTCATGCCAACCTTGTGAGATGAGCTACTATCATCATCCCATTTTATTGATGAGGAAGCTGGGGTCTAGAGTTACCAAATCATCTGCCCAAGGTCTCCTCACATGGTGAAGCTAGGGTTTGAATGGGATAACAAAATGCTAGAGTCCACACTCATAACCACTTTGCAATACCTGTCACCAAAGAGAGCATTTGAAATAGCAAATAGCAAAGAAAGCGGCCCCCAACTCTATAGGTTAGGGTATGGAGGCCAGAAAAATTCTTCTCCTTCACAGGAACAAAACCAAGTGTACCAATATTAGGAATACATAGGCACTCATGAGTGGATGTTTAAGCAAGGTGGGGAATAAGGGTGACATGCTGTCTGCTGCAGAGGAAGGGTCTATGTTTTGGTTCTGCTCACCAGAGGAGAGCCCACTGGGGTTTTGAGGAGCAGCAGTTTGGACTCCAAAGCAGGAAGGCCAGTCTGAGAAATCAGGTAGGTATCAGCACCCACTGGAGCTCCAGACCCCCTGATGGCAGCCAGTGGACCACCCAGTGATGCTCAAGAAATACGTTCTCACAGAAGATACATAAGCACAATCCACACATCCACATTTTTTTTTTGAGTCTTCCTGAGTTTGCACGTAGTGAAGGCCCCAGGCTACCCCTTGTTGGTTTCAACTGCTTGCTTGCCACTGGCATGTGTTGGTTGATGCCTCCCTCCCACTTGCCAGCATCCCAAATAACAGGGCTAGAACCATAGTAAGCTTACCAAGAGGTTGACTCCTTGGGTTAGAATTTTGCCATGGTAACAGATAAGTAGAGAATGGATGGCTTTGCCTGTTCCATTTTGTCATGATCCTTATTGGGGCCTCCTGGAAAGAGACGATGGCTGCTGAAAGCTGAGGCACTTGGCTAGGCAGGGAAGGCCCTAGGTGCTGAGAGACAGGGCCTAGAAGAAGCTCTTTGTTCCAGACTCCCTGATTTATCTTTTTCTTTTTAAAAAATTTTATTTTAAATTCTGGGATACATATGCAGGATGTGCATGTTTGTTACACAGGTAAACATGTGCCATGGTGGTTTGCTGCACCCATTAACCCATCACCTAGGTATTAAACACTGCATTACTTTATCTTCTTAACAACAGCCTTGTTGGCCAATGAGTTAGCATCATCTTCATTCCAAAATTGAGTGGAAAAGATGTACATTACTTCCAAAATCCCTACATTCCTCTTTCAAATCAAACTGTTTTGAGATAATATTAGATTCACATGCAGTTGTAAGAGATAATACAGGGAGATCCCCTATATGCAAGCAGTTACACCCCATGGTAACATCTTATGAAATTATCTTATAACATCAAAACTAGTATGTTGATATTTACACGATTATATACAGAAGGTTTCCATCACCAAAAGGCTCCCTTATCTTGCCCTTATATAGTCACACCTCGCTCTCTTCCTTTCTACCCTCCTACTCCCAATCACTTTTTAACACTGGCAACCATGAATCTATTTTCCATTTCTATAATGGTATGATATAGCATGCAGCCTTTTGGGCTTGACTTTTGTTTATTCACTCAGCATTGTTTCCTAGAGATCCATTCAGGTTGTTGTGTGCATCAGTCATTTGTTCTTTATTATTGCTGAATAGTATTCCATAGAATGGACCACAGTTTGTGTGACATCCATTTGTGTACGTACACCTGGGTTGTTCCCGATGTTTGGCTATTACAAATAAAGCTGCTATGAACATTCATGTAGACAGGCTTTTGCATGAACATAATTTTTAGTTTCTCTGGGATAATGCCCGGAAGTGTAATTACTGAAAATTGTGTGTTTCCTTTCACAATATCACCAAAGTGGAGGCAGCATTTCTGTTCCCACCAGCAATGTACGAGGCGTCCAGTTTCTCTGTATCTTCACCAGCATTTTGTGTTGCCAGTATTTTTAAAAAGCCATTCTTGAAGGAAGGTTCAGTAGTAATATCTCATTGTGGTTTTAATTTGCAAGTTCATGGCTAATTAAGCTAAACATTTTTTCAGGTGCTCATTTATCATCTGTATATTTTCTCTGGTGAAATGTTACTTCATGTCTTTTGTCCATTTTCTAATGGGACTTTTTATATTACTGTTGAGTTTTGAACATTCTTCAAAACTAGATCCTAGATATTCCAGATACTAGTTCTTTACTAGAAATATGGTTTGCAAATATTTTCTCCTAATTCGCAGTTTGCGTTTTCAATCTCTTCATGGAGTCTTTCATGAAGCATAGCTTTTAAATTGTTATGAAGTCCAACTCATCTTTAAATTAATTTAAAAATACATAATTTAGATTTTTCTCGGGCTCTTTGGAGAAGCTTAATTGTGTTCCGCATATTCCAGCCTGTAGAGTTTAACAAATTCTTTTGTCACTTAATTTCCACAGTTCAAAGAGAATATTTTCAAAGTGAGAAGAGAACGAATCCTTTTTTTCCCCTTTGAATAGGCATATCTACCACTCCCAAGTTCAGGCTGTTGTTGCTGTTGTTAATTTTTCCCAGGGCTTTGTACATACTCTTTAATTGATTACACCCCTCCCCCTTTTAGGACAGATGTATACAGCAACTGAGAGGGCAGATGGTAATGTAGATCTATACCTTGGAGAGCTCTAAATAACAACCGCATATGTGCAGGGCTGAAGTCATAGACCCTCAGCCTGCGGTGCTCCCAGCCTAAGTGCAAGGAGCCGTTGTGTGCATGGCATAATTTGTAGTCCAAGAACCCTTTGATGTATGGCTGATTCACTTCTGCCTTAATTCCTGATGGATGCCTAATGGTAACTAGCTTTAAATGAATACATTTACACTTTAATCACAAATATCCCATCTTTATGAATAAGAATGATTTATAAAATGATTGAACATTTCCAGACAATTTATTTTAGTCAGTAATCTATAAAATATTCTTTTAAAAGATTTGCCTTTCATAGCCAATCTAGGGGTAGTTTCTGTGTTGATAAGTGATAAACCTCCACCTTCTCAATCCACGGAGGGGAAAAGAAAGAGGGAGAGAGCACTAAATATTCATAAGCCTGTTTTATCCCCGAGATCTTGCTGTATCTCTTTGGTTGTCTCCATCAGCCTCTTAGAGAGGAGAGTGAGCTGTCTCAGATCAATATCTTCTGGTAAATAAGCAGTATATCTTTGCTCTGGGCAGTTTTGAACACATGTCAGGTTCTGATAACAAGGAACTCTTTAATCTGTAAGAAAACGTGATGTCATTTATTCTCATTTCACCGAAAAAAATGTAGAACACATTTAATCTTTCATATATAAATATTTAATGTCATATTAAACATTTACTAAATACCTACTAAAATGAGAGGTAGGGAGAATGGTTGTCTTTTCCTGTTTTAACTGGCATTTTAATTGAGATAATTGTAGATTTACATGTAGTTGTAAGAAATAATACAGAGAGTTAGATCCCTTGTATATTGGGCATAGTCCCCCCCAATGGTGACATTTTGTAAAACTACAGCGCAATATCACAGTATCACAAATATGATATTGATATTGGTACAATCCACCTGTCTTCAGATTTCTCCAGCTCTGTGTGTGTATATTGAACTTTACATAATTTTATCATTTTGTATCCACAGGAACTTACATAATCAAGATACTAAACATTTCCAACACCACAGAGATATCTCCTGTTGCTCTTTCACAGCTATGCCGCCTCCCTTTACCCTCCCAGACTCCATAATGGTCCCTGGCAACCACCAATCTGTCCTTCATCTCTATCATTTTATCATTTCAAGAATGTTACATAAATGGAATCATACTATGTATGTGTGTATATATATATATATATATATCATATAACATTGTTATTTTTTTCACTTAGCATAATTCTCTGGAGACTCAGGTGGTTTTATGTATCAGTAGTTCATTCCTTTTTATTGCTAAGAAATATTCCATGTTACAGATGTACCACAATTTATCTTTTATCTAACCATTCATCTGTTGAAAGACATCTGAGATAATGGCAGTTTTATCTATTGCAAAGGAAGCTACTGTGAACAATTGTAGACTTGTTTTTGTGTGCGCATAAGTTTTAACTTCTCTAGGGCAAATACTGATGAGTACAATTACTGGCCCATATGGCAGTTGCGTGTTTATTTTTATAAGAAACTGCCAAACTGTTTTTCAGAGTGGCCTGGCCATTTTTTATTTCCACCAGCAATGTGGGAGTGATCCTGTCCCTTTGAATCTTCACCAGCTTTGATGTTATTATTTTTTATTTCAGCCATTCTGATAGGTGTAAAGTGATATCTCACCAAGTTCTTAATTTGCACTATTTGATGGCTAATGATTTTGAACATGTTTTCATATACTTATTTGCCATCTGTATATCCTCTTCTGTAAAATGTCTCTTCATCCCATTTACGCATTTTCTATGGCATTTTGTCAAGACCTCTCTTTTATCTTCCTATATTTAACAAAGGGCAAATTGTCAACAAAAATGTTTGTCACTTTAGTGGTTACAACATGCCAGACACTGTTC